AACCTTCATGTTTACGTGTTTATCTTTTAAACGATTACATGTTCGACTTAACTTCACATTAAGAAACGCGGCGTTTGCTGCGTATAGTGCGTATTCCAAGAAGGGACATAAAGATGTTGTCGGGAAGGGCGCGGGTCATTCGATGGCGCGTCTTCTAATTGAATCTCTCAAGTTTGATTAGTCGGGATACGTTACGTTCATTGCCATTCTCTTATCGCCCAGATCAGTTGGGATTATTTATATTTTATTATGCAATTCTTGCTTAAAACTCGAATTCAGTAGAGTGTCTATTGTGTCAATTAAAACTTCAATGTACTTAAAAACTCATAAATAAAACAAAACTTACATCGTTAGTGATCTTGAGGCTCTAAATATTGTACAATATTCTAGTAATAATTATTACTGACATATCTTACTGTTTAACCACAATATTAAAAAAATAAATACCTAAATATCTCTGTAAACGTTATGTACACCAATGTTTACATATGTATAAGATCTAATACTATTTAATTGATAAGTTGTATGTGTGTTATATATATGTTGTGGTTGTGCTTAAATAAATAAATATTATCCATCAATAGGTTATCAGTAAATCCATTAAGAGGCAAACTTCCTTTTGCATTTTGAATGTATAAATGTGTATATCATTTCACAAGTCAGTAAATAAAATTATCATGAAGAGTAAATGCCAAAGTAAGAATTTAAAGCATTCAAAACACAACAAAAGGGGCAGTATATTAGATAACACAAGTCAGACATTGCAATTAATGCACGCAGGTGCGTCGACGAAGGAATGAAAACAAATCAGACGCAATAGACATTTGGGTGAGGAATTGCATCCTCCATCTTACACTAGAATAGAAAATATCAATAACAAACTAAACTAATCTCTAATCTTATTTAGATTACAATCCAAATTCGCATAAACACGAAAGATCACTAAGACGTATTATCGTAAGGCATTTGAATTTATTTAATAATCAAAAATGTATTCTAACATAAAGGGATAAGATCTAAAATGATGTAGCAAATACAATGTACTTAAGTTTGTATTAGATTGAATGTTTATTTGGAACGAGTAACGCGAAACATCCGGCTCGAAGGACCAACTAATTGGATCGGTCACGCAAATTCCTGCGCACGCGTCTGCCTTTGAGTCTCGCGCGCATTCCGCAATGTACTATGGTTAATTAGTATAAGGATTGATTCATTAGTTAGTTTCCTTGGCGATTTGTTGCGGCTGATGTTAGTGCCGCTATCAAAGGAGGTAATGAAAGGCGCCTGTCACTTATATTGCTTAAGATAATTGTATTTACTAACGTCTGTTTAAATTAAACTTAATAGTATTTAAATGTGGTTAATTAAAATAGAAGATTAATTACTTAAAGTCTTACCAAAATTATAAATGCAATGGATGGATGTTTGAAGCTGAACGGATCACAATTATATTTGGCATACATATAGAACATAGTCTGGAGACATATAAGCTAACAGTTATGTTTTCTTTTTAATTCCGCGCAGACAGTCGGATATGTCGGTGTGTTTGGCTTATAATAAAATTCCTTAAACAAGATGATAAACTACAAAAAATTGGAGAGGAATTCTGAAGCTTTAAAAATCTGTACTTAATTTCCAGCTTTGAACACGACATAGAACAATTTAACATTTGAATTTGATTGAAACAAAACATAAATACTCCTTAGTTTATTAGATACCGGTCGAAATTCCTAAAACACGTACTAAATAACGTATACGTCAGTTTATAATCTGTGCATACGTGCTCTACCTACAAACGACTCTGTAATCTCAAAACTGGTTAATCTTTCGCCGCTAAACTCGCGATACGCGACGCTTCGGAAGAGAATCCTCAACTTTATACCATATATCGTAGCGAAGCTCAGTTTTAACTTTATACTATGCGCGGCACCCGAATACTTCGTGGATTTACGTAGTTGTTTGTAATTAACGTATTTAGATGAATAATGTGACTGAAGCTTTGAATACTTTAAGTAAGTTGTGCTTACATATACATTATTGATATTTTAACAATGTTCTAAGATATTTTGTTTGAAACATTTTGGTCCCAACTAAATAAAAAGATTTCCAAGTTTGTAAATCTGTATATATAAAAGAAAGTCATGTTAGTTACACTATTTATAACTCAAGAACGGCATTACCGATATGGCTGAAAATTGGCGAAGAGGTAGCTTAGAGCCAGGAGACGGACTATTTATTCATTTTTTTTCGAATTTATGCCTTGAAGAGTTTCTTTTTATTTAACTTATTAATATTATAAATGCGAATGTTTAGATAGATGTGATGTGGATGGACGGACGGAGTCGCGGGCGACAGCTAGTGAAAAATAAATAAGGTTTTTTTCGTAGAAAAGTCACAACAAATTAAATAAAGCAACATTTTCTAAATCAGGTATTGAGACAATGAATGGTTTGAAAATGTTGTCTAATTTATTTCGGTTCAAAGATGTCATCATCATCAGCTCACTATACGTCCCCACCGAGGGGCTCGGAGCCTACCGTAAGTTAAGGGTGATTAGGCCATAGTCAACCACGCTGGCCCAGTGCGGGTTGGTTGACTTCACACATATCTTTGAATTTCTTCTCAGATATGTGCAGGTTGCATCACGATGTTTTCCTTCACCGACATACTTCATCGAAACTTTAACTGTCGCTGTTTAGTTATTGTTTTGCAGAATTCCTTAATACAATAAACAATGTAGCATTTACACAAACGTAAGTAAATAGCAAGTAAAGTAACTATTCCTAGTGTCCGAGCTGAAACTCAAACAAAGTCGCGGGCAGTAGCTGTGTTTGCCGAGACAGACCCCGGGGGCGACCCTACCCGGCTACCACCCCGCGGTATCAAGTTTCAACAACTGTTAGTTAGTAAATTAAATGAAATTGGAAATTTCAACTAAGAACTATCAATTAAACTTGCGATGCTTGAAATCTACAGGATTCTTTTTCTTGTGAATTGAGTCCCGTTATGATCTTTGGTTCATTTTGTTGGGACATTTGGTGGCCATTTCAGAACAGCTGTTTTCGTATATAATTGCTATGTATTGTAACGTACATGTAAAAATATTCAACGCTGTAAAAAAATTGTAACAAAGTTAAAAGGTTTAACAAATAAAAAAGGGCAGTAAAAATTAACGGCGTTCCAAATTGTTTCCCGCCGCTCCGGAACAATATTGTTTGGAACAAAAATTATTTTTGCAAATATCCAACCGTTCAAACGATCAATATATAAATACTCATTGATTAGAAACAAGTCGAATAAGCGATGCATAATTTTTACTAATTAACTTCATCAATTAAATATCAGATTAAAATTTAAATATCGTTATGTAGAATAATATATTGAACCATTTTATATGTTAGTCAATATGATTTGATTTTTTTTTTGAGAGTCCTGTTTTCTTTTATCTTACGTTAAAGCCACAGATTAACAATGGTAGAGCCCGCTTTAACATCTTCGCACGAATCGGCCCGGCTCGCCCGGTGAAAAACCACGACCACACAGAAGACAGGCGTCAAGTGGAAGCAATTCCGCGTTTCGTCTGATGAGGGTGCGTCCCGGAGGCCTAATTTAGTCCTTTTTCCCTTCCCACCCTTTTTCTTATAAGGAAAGGATGGGAAGTGGATGTGGATTTTCCGGATGAGAGGATGCATGGGAAGGGAAAATATTTTCTTTCTGTGGATCCTCTCCTCCTTTAATCGATTAAAGGTTGGCAAACGCATATGCAATTGCGTATGTCTATGGGCAACGGTCACTTCGCTATTTCAGTGGCCGCTCGCTCGTTTGCCACCTTATGATATAAAAAAAACACTTTTTATCCTACTATTATTATAAATGTTTAGATGGATGGATGTTTGTTATAAGGTATCTTCAGAACGGCTCATTGAATCTCGATTAAATTTGGAATAGATAGAGAAAATATACTGGAAGAACACACAGGCTACTAATTAAGTCTTCTACGACGAAGTCGCGGCCGACAGCTAGCTATTTAAATAAAATATAGTATAATAAAAATGTAGTATAACAAATCTATTTACAACATCCAAGTTGTATTGAAAGAGAGGTTATTAAAAATAGAAATAATATAGGTGCTTAATAAAATCCATAGTAACGAGATATCTATCAAGAAGCTTGATACGTAATTGTTTCAATTGGAGAGGTAATATTTAACAATGGGGGAGTTGGATAATCCGCCCTTCAGATTTGAAGAGCCAAATGATTTTCAATCAATCTACGCAATCCTTTCAGCTTTGATTAAAATGAAGTCATATAAATCAAATACAGCTAAATTGACTTTCAGATTTAGGCAAAAATAAATGATGTAGAGATATAAATTAAATTTCTATTCGCAAGACTGCGTCGTTTCATTTCAGAACCAAGAGCTTATGTGTCTTTACATTGTTCTTTAATTATACCACCACTAGCTGTCGCCCGCGACTCCTCACGGAGTAAAAAAAACTTTATTAGTAGCCTATGTGGTTTTTCAAACTATGCTCTACATATGCGCCTAATTTTATCAAGATTTGTTTAGCCGTTTTAGAGATATCTTGAAACAAACATCCAATCATGCATCCATCTAAACGTTCGCATGTTTAATATTTTTTTTTTAATTTATGCCTTAAGAGCTGCTTTTTATTTAACATACTAATATTATAAATACGAATTTTTAGATGGATGTGATATGAATGGATGGATAGGTGTTTGAAGATGTCTCTAGAACGGCGGATCTGGATTAAATTTGGTATACGTATAGAACATAGTCTGAAAGAACACAGAAGCTACACTAAGTTTTTTATATATTCACGCGGATGGAGTCGCGGGTAATAACTAGTCTTAATATAATATCATTTAGATATTATTGTCAGCAGAAGTATAATAAACAATTATTGGTATATGAAACAAATATTTTCAGACCATCAAATGAAGATCTTTGTTATAACAAGCTTACTTCTTAAACTTACCTTGATTAACTTGTTCTGAAGTTTGGTGACGGCCATACGCTCACGTTGCGTACGCCGCTTCTCCTCTTCCAGCTGAGCTTCCAGCTGCTTTATACGCTTCTCCAGAAGTTCCTGCAACAAGGTGCATATCAATTAAACCTATGCTATTATAAAACACACTGTAATTTTGGTCCTCTCGTCCGACTCGTATACAAACTTGGTACTATCGCATAAAAACTCTTTTGAAAAGCAAAGCTCTACATAATCCTATATCATCGACTTTTAAATGTTTTAAAGTTTAGGCATTTAAACCGCATTTTCAATCAATTGTACACTTACAGACTGAAAATTGTTCAACAGACATTGTTACAAAGGAGGCTAGGTAACAGTAGGGGGGGGGGTTAAGTAAACAGTTCTCCAATTCAACTCCGTCTAAAGTTTACATTGTCGGGATCGCACAAAGCTAACCGGATGTGACGTCGTTTATCCGGTGTCATTAGCCGGATGAGCACATCAGAGTACAGCCGCAAGGTAGTTTTTACTTAATGCTTCAGCGCAAAAGCCTCCGAAGGTTGCAAAATAATCAAACGTTTTTAATCGTGTAAAATTCTGTTGAAGACACGAATAAATACATTTTAATTTTATGTAAATTTAATGGGAAACATTGCTTCATGCTTATTACCTAGAGTTTCTAAAAACAACTCAAAAGTACTGCCATCTCACTCATTTCCTTGAATAAAACAGAGATAACAATATGGAAAGGGAAACTTATGACTTACTCGTAGATTTGCTAAAAATAATTGCAAAAGTATACTATTGATGTAAACGGCCTTGAAAACTAAATTTAATGATTCAAACATATATTCTAAAACGTAATATGTTTAAAGACAGATGTCACTATTCAAAGGCACATATAATTTTGAATATTATTTTAATTCCGACATTCAATGAGTCATATAAATAATTTAGGAAAGCTTCCGAGCAGTACATTTACAAAGGGCGCCGTTTCCGAGTGACATCTCGAGAACAATGACTAAAATGTAACCGACAAATCTTAGTTCTAATAGAACGAACAAAAATAACCCTTAGTTCTTTACATTAAGTATTATTTTGTCTGCAAATTTATTAATGTTAATATAACATGATTAAAGGCAAAAGGAAGTAAAGCAATTTACGTAGGGATACATAAATATTTTGTACCAATTTTTTATAGATATAATGTTTGGGATAATTTTTGTAGGATCTAGTTTCAGGGATGACGAATAAACATATCATATTTCTAAGGAAATGCTCAATGAAATTATAGATTTGACATCAAATAGACTTTTTTATTATTGCGCCAATCCATGGCGGAGGGATCACTTGCATTCGCTCCTAACATAATACCAATATTCACAATTTGGAAGCATAATTTTGTGTTCCCTGACGTGCCTTAAATATTTTGTCGCTTGCTATTGGTTCGCAATCCCTGATGTAGTTTATGTGGGATTGGTTACAAAACAAAACACAAAAACTTTACGAATTCCGATGGCTGTTGCTCGTTTGCCACCTTATAATATTTAAAAAGAAAAACTTGTGTCACATGATAAGCTAATTCCTGATTGTTGTTAAAAGTATAGCTCCTGAACCGTAAAATATGATAAAGGGAAGTGCGAATACATATTCTATATCAATATCCAATAACGGTTGCCATTAATTTTGCGATATTTCCACAACATTTCACTCCCTCCTTACGCGGGGTAACACTGTAATTTATTACAGCGCATGCGCACTAATGGAACGCTAACTAGCTATTTTGTTTATACTTATTAGTAGCCTAATTAAAAAAAAATATGTTAGATATAAAATAGTTTATGAAAGTACTCTTTACTGTATAGTTTCTCTAATATATTTATAGATGTTTTCTTGTTTATTTTGTCAATTTTTTTTTATTAATAAACATTTTTAAAATATTATAATTGCACATTTTAACACATATATGTTTACTATTATTTACTCTTTTTCCACATACATAATAAGTCAATTGAAATTAATAAATAAGAAATTCATTCAAATGTTACAATATTCTAAACAAACCCAGCAAGCGATGTATACCTTTGAATCATTTTTCACGCACACGATAAATTCATCCCCCGGCCGTGTCGCTGTGTCGCGATGTCAACGAGAGAATTGCTTCATTCTGTGATCGTACACACTAAAATTTTTACAATTTTATACTTAGTTTCTAATGTGAACATAAGTTCACACACATACCTAATAAACTACACGTTACATCTATATACTCGTATTATATATATAAAAGAAAGTCGTGTTAGTTACACTATTTATAACTGAAGAACGGCTTTACCGACATGCCTGAAAATTGGTGAGGAGGTAGCTTAGAGCCATGAGACGGACATAGGATACTATTTATTAATATTTTTTTCGAATTTATGCCTTGAAGAGCTGCTTTTTATTTAACTTACAAATATTATAAATGCGAATGTTTAGATACATGTTATGTGGATGGATGGATTTTTTCTTACATATCCACGCGGATGGAGTCGCGGGCGACAGTTAGTGTATTTATAAAAAAATAAATGTTTAATTTGAGCAAACTTGTTTAATCCAAACACTCATTTTGCATTAAGATTGTTTCATTTTTTTATTTATTTTTATTTTAACCTTTATTTTTTATCTAGAAGTAGAAACGATCCGTTTACTCGTCTAATGTCTAAAAGTCATTGACATCGTCAATTGTAAATACACGTTACTAAAACGTTATCATCATCCCTGTCTTTAAAACACAAAGATAACATATTATGCCAATGTTTCGGTAGTAGAAACTCAGAAATTCGAAAAATTATTGACAAAGAATCTTACGTTTTAATTATAAAACATGAGAATAAACAATCAAACGTTCTCTATATCTGTACGTGTTTCCAATGATACCAAATGCTTTTATTTCCTTCCCGCAAACGTAAAAGTGTCCCATTGTGCCGGGTATCGGGGCTCTTCCTCGCCTTTGCATCCATTTGTCTACGAACAATGCCTTCATTCTATTGTTTAATGGTATTTCGGGACTGTGACGTCACAGTTAGACCCTCCTAAACCTTTCATCTATCAAACTAATATTAATAAGCCAGTCCCGTGATTATTGCATCATTATTATAGTATATAAAATTAATTAATCATTGGTATCTTTGTTTCCTCTTAATCTTTTGTGGAAGACTCATTTTGGGTTGCTACGCTAGTGATGTAAGTAGTAAGTTTCTTAGTTAGTTCTTAGTTTCTTAGTCTAAGTTCTTATCAATTTCTCTTGTTGCGCTTATATTTGTGTTATTTTTCATAGTCTATGAATACTTATACGACGTGGGAATAAATCTGATTGACCTCCTGTAAAGCATTTTATAAAGATTTTCCTCTAGACAAACATAATGAAAAATTTACCTAGGAATTTCTAATTCAATATTTTGTGATGGATAAATCGTGTTGCGGAAAAATAAAATAATTAACAATATCCATTGGTACAGCCCCTAAATATCTTCAAATTTATTAGATTAATCTAAACGTTTGCTATCTCTATTATAAAAAATACGTTGTTAATCAATATGTGACCCGCGTCATTTTAAGAGCACTCGATCTCAAATGAATTGTTGACAATAGCTACGATATAGCAACCGCACTAGAGTCCCAGCCGGGACCGAGACAATGACGCGAGATTAACCCGAACGAATTAAACTGAACCCCGTGAAACCTTAGAGAAGTAAGCGTGTGGTACAATATTTACATAGAATCGATAAAAAATTAAAATATTGAACATATCAATTGATACGTGTGAATATGTATAGGGTTGTGATTAGAGAAAAAGAAGTATGGTAAATTTCGATATAATTGTAGTCGTGAAATTTTGGACAAACTACGAAAACTAGCCACAATTCTGTTAAAGGATACATAAGGGTACACTTTGGTTTGAATTCTGTATTAAAACTAGCTTTCCCCCGCGACTCCATTCGCGCGAGATTAATAAATATATACTAGCCGATTCTTGGGCCTACTGAATATGTAAATAAATAATCATAATAATCGGTCGGAGAATTATATATATATACATATATATAAGATTATCTTGTCTTTAAATAGCAGGTAATAAAATCGCTTCCGCTACCGCTTATAACTTGTGCGAATCTAAATTTCAAGTCACCCTCTTTCATCCATCATTAGCGGACAATGGCTAATCTAACGGGCACTTCATCACGGCCCAGCCCCGGACTTCGGGACGATAATTAACGCGCGAGATTACAATGACGGCCACTCAGGTACAGCCATACATGGCAGCCATACAAACTGGCGGACATACAAATGTAAAGATTATGTCATATTTCAAACATAAAGCAAAGTTAATGTAAAGTTTACGTATGATAATCTGTATTACCTTAAGCTGCTTGCACTTTAATTTGCCAAAAGTTTTACGAAGTTTTTTAAATTTATTTGTTTAAATTGTGTTATCGCAATAGGTTTAAAAAAAAAGAAATGCATAAAAAGCCTATGACATATTGTTCGGAACTAAGCATTTACAGGGTGTTTAAAAGCTAAAGTAACTACTGTATTACTTCCATTCTCAACTGTTGTTTTCTAACCGTTTAGCAGGCGGTGGCGATTTCTACACTTTATGGCAAAGTTAAATGGAAATTAAGACTAATTCTCTCCGTTTTAATTGAATAGACGTGTTGGAAGGAGTTTTTTGTACTCTACGTCGTCGTAGTTTTCTAGCGTTCTTTTACGATTTATTTTGTAAGACGCTTATTTAATTAAAAATCCTTTTGTGTACGTAAGGTCTGGAGACATAGACTATTTATCTTTCTTTGAATTTTCTCATTATGATTTCAAGTACAATACGTATTTAATAAATGTAGTAATAAAGATAGGTGTGTGTTACTGTAAATGTAAATAAAATTGGCGACTAACACCGTAAGAAGTTTGATAAATTATGGTTTACAAAACTACGATCGATGACCCCACGTGAGCGGGATAAGGCAGGATAAAGATGGTGAGTTTGACCCATCTTTTTGGTCTATATAACACTGTTACTTCAGAGACCTGCAGCTCAAAGCGACTGATCTTTTTTATACTAAATATTTTACTACGCTAAA